AAAACAAAAAAAAACACAAAAAAACCCCCCCCCCCCCCCCCCCCCCCCCCCCCGATTCCAGGTGGTCCGCCCCCCACCATCCAATAAGTTCAAGAGCATTATCTTTGACCCTACGCTCAAGCAAAAGGCCTGCCGGACGTGCGTGAAGGTGAGGTGCACTGCTGAAGAGTGGCATCGGCATTCTCGGACTATCGGCAAGCGGTGGACATCATCGAGTGGTGTGCTGTAGTACGGTTGCAATGCGACGGTAACCGCAGAAACTTTTGCAGGGTTATTCTGCTTCGTTCTCTATTAAGTAAACATGTTGGGTAAAGCTGCAATCGAGGAAGTTGGGTTGGGGTTAGGGTTAGGGATAGGTATAGGGTCTGCGTATGCATACACCCCTTTTCTGTTCTATTTACTCATAAAACTTAATTCTCGGCGGTCCGACGATAAACCCAGACCAAACAAACCCTCTGGGCATCTCTGGTTTGGCATTCGCGATCGATGACGCTAAGTTTATCCACACGTTGCCACGTTGTCGCCGGCGTTTTGCAGATACTGATCCCGCAACAAGAGGCTATTAAGGCGAGCCGCGGGCGCGGGAGCGGAGGAGGAGGGATTAGCCGCTTGAACGGATTCCTGGAGCGAAAGAACACGGGAGGGCCGCATTTTTCGATCGCCATCGTCCGTGCAAAGGTGACGAGACACGAGCACGTTTTTTTACCCTGCTGCCGTGCCGATGTCACGTACAATTGTGTTGTAGGTGTCGCACGCATTTTCTTGTGCCGTACGGAGTGGGATTTATGAAGTTGGTCGATGACGAGGGGAATAGGGGTGCTCCGTCGATCCGATTGGAATCGAACGGGGCATGCACCGCTGCGGAATTATCGAGTGTGAGGACCCCGGATCTTTTGGTTTGTCTCGGCAGCCGTTGTTCGCAACCCCAAGCGTTCACGACGACGGATGGTGCTATTTACTACTGGTGTCTTCGCTGTACGGTTTCGTGTGACTTTTCTTAATGTAAATAGCTTGATCTCGCGTCCTTTGACCCTGCCGGCATGATAAAAGTCACGTCCACAGGGTGCCGCTTTTTTCTAGTTGGCACCACTGAGAAACATATGAGGGGTGTGCGTTGCGGATGGACGCGCCAATAGGCCGTGCGAAACGGTGCGCTTTGATTTTGTTGGAGTGTTTTCTCGCGGAAGCTCCCGGACGCCGCGCGCGAACGCCTTGTGGGTTGACGCTCCCGATGGTGCACGCACGGCCTCATTGATCTCGCCAGCGTTTGCAAAAACTATTTGTGTGAAGACGCCGGTAGGTTGAATGGTCTTGTTGGACTGGAAAAGCGACGAAATTACCAGCCAAAAGTCAATGGCTTAGCCAGTGTTGTACGAACGATGGGTATACGGTGAGTATCACCATCACCATCACCACCGTGTTTGTGTGAAAAACGTCCCTGATGAGTTTTGTACCGATCGCATGTCGAGCGGCTGCGAAGCTTACATGATGTCTTGGCTCTCTTGGTGTCATTTTCTTGTTTTCGCGTGTTTTTTTTGGGGGGGTCTTGTTAGCTTTGTTTGCACTTGAGGTCGAGCCCGCTTTCCCGGGTCATGGGCGATGTGCTGGTTTGATGTGCTGGTTCCTTGTTGACGATGATAGTGTTGGTGTCAGCGCGTGGACACTTGGTTTGTTCACGCGTTGTACAAATAGTAAATAGTAATAGTCTGTCTCATGTGAGCCCGTTCGGTTCTCGACTCGACCTGCTTCGTTTCTTCAGAGTTAATTTTAGGGTTATTTTCAACTCGTTTGACCATGCATATTCGAACGGCACATGTATTAAACGTGGCCTCTCTGCTCTGATCTCGCACCCGTTGCAGTCGCTCATAGCCCTACGCCGCTGCACACGCTCCCTCATTATTTTTCAACCTCGTGTAACCATGCATATACGAACGGGCCCATGTGTTAAACGTGGCTTCTTCTGCTTTGATCTCGTCGCCGTTGCAGTCGCTGATTGGCCGCAAGGCTAACTCGCCGGTGGTGGACCCGGTATGCCTGCTCACGGTTGGGAACACCTCGAGCATCACCCAGCCGACGGAGATCGGATCTGACCCCGTGTGGGACCAGTGCTTCGATTTCCCGGCAAGTTTTGATTCACCGCGCGTTTCATTTAGGGTCTCGCTACGGTTGTACTCGTCCGTCTCTTGAGACAGCTTGGGCCTTGGGAGGGAGTGAAGCCTGTGGTATGCGTTGGTGCTTTGATCGAGATCGGGGGTAGTCGAAGCGTATGCATAGTACTGTGTCATGTGCTTAGTGAAAAGGTGTTGTATGGTAGTTACCCGCCCCACTATTATCCCACGCGGGGGGGAGACAACAAAACCCTCTCGTTCTATCCTCGTGCAAAGGGCCTCGCCTCGCCTAGGGATGCCCCTGTGTGAATGATCCATCTTTTCGTGTATTTTTGTGTTAAGCGTCCGGTGTGCTGTCGTCGCTCAAGGTGTTGCAACCTAACGTAACCTGCGGTCATGCCTGTTGTACGGAACACCACCTCCCTCCGCCGACTGGAAATCTCGCACAACGATCGCTACGTTCAGCAGTGGCGCGCTCTCGTTATTTTCGGAGTTTTTTTCTGTTAGCGTGTTTTGCATGTATGTTGCATTGATGGACTTGATAGTTCTGCGTGTATCTTAAGGGATGGAATAAGTCCTCCCTCTTAGGTGTCAAATGTCTTGGACACATGGTGACATTTGTGCTACCGGTAGGTTGTTTTCCGCGCGCACCAAAGCTGTGCAATCTTGGGAGTAGAGCCGCATGCTCCGAGTCACCGCATCTGATACGATTGCAATTGTAGAGAGGATTCATTGAGACAAGAACAGAAAGAACGAGGTTTTTATCGCGAACACTACAATAGTCTTCGGTTGTTGAAGGGTCTTCCCCTCACGACTTTCCTCTTTCCGCCCTTTGCTTGCTCCCCTCAGGTGCCGGGCGAGCACGGCAACAGCCTGAAGCTGACGTGCTACGAGGAACAGGCGGGGGGGAAGGCGTTGATCGGGGAAGGCTCGACAAAGGTTGTGGAGACGGGGCTGGAAGGGATGTGGGTCCCGATCACCGACGAGAGAAGGGTGGGTCGTCACGTCTTGCGGCGGTATTCGTACGTACTGCTACCTCCATTGGTAGCGCTTGTGGAGGTGACCCTTTCGAAAGGATCACGCACGTCCTCAGGGCGATTCCTTCTTGTCGCATTAGCGTCTCGAAGCGAAGTCTGTTTTCGCACGTGTTTCGTCCAAATGTGTTATCCTGCGAGACACGGAGATACACTCCCCCACGCCTACGTGTTAAAATAGCTAAAAAGACGCTCATACAAAACGCTCATACATCTCTCACCTTCGTAGCTGAGTACGGTATGTGCGTGGACCTTCGTAGCTGCGTACAGTTCGCGCGTAGACCGTTTCCTCGGGGCTGGGAATCAGTATGATGTAGGGGGGTTGCGCTTACCTGTCGTCGTTGTCTCTCCCGGATGGTATCCATTGCTTGTACGGTATCAAGCAATTAGTGTCGCAGCTTGCTGACGACCTACGTGCGAATGACGACCGTGAACACGTACATCTCATAGCATACAAAGACTCGAAATAAGCCCAGTACCCAGCCGGTTTCCCTCCACTCACTGAAAAGATTCCACCACATCCCGTTCGACTGTGGGTATATCTCGAATGGGTAGTCTTTCTGTGTGTGTTTTTATTATTCCTTAAATCTCATAGCATACGGTATCATCCCATCATCACATGTTAGCATGACTTATAATAGTAAGGCATGCGATAGACATGTTAACGGGTGATAACGTCCACTTCAACAGGCTTTATTATCTTCCGTACACATGGGGGGTGTTAAGTAAACACCGGGTGGGTAGCAACGTTCGCGAAAACGTGCCACGGAGAAACATGTTGAAGTTGTCTCTTCTTCGTAGATGCGGCATAACCGCCGCCTCTTCGAATCCTCTAGAGGGCAAACAGGGAAGCGTCCGATACTTCAATTCCTGTTTATGGCCCCCATACCCCTAGCGCCGCGACCACCGGACAGTCACGGCCCATCATAGTATTTTGTGTAGATTCTACGCGCAGCCGCCAAAACATCCCCCCAGCTCGAATAAAAAAATGGTACTACGGGGGGTACGACCAAACAGCGAAAGGGATGGAA